AAAAACTTTAACCAAACCCACCAGGGTGCTTAACATATACACTAGGAGGCATTTGTCCATATCTTTAACATCAAGGTTTCAACAAAAAACACGATGTGATGGTCACAAGAAACCAAACATTTATTTCTGTTGTCACTCTGTACAGGACACAAATTTTCACACCAATGAAAGGTTCTAGACTCAGACAGCCCCCAGAGGTAGGCAGGGGCCTGGTTTGGAATGTCAGAAAGAGAGCAGGAGAAAGGACACACATGACATAAAATAATAATAATAATAATTAATAATAATAATAATAAACAATGCAACAATGATAAACTATGGGAGAAGGCTCTGCACTGTGTCCTTCCAGAGTAGGTGGGCCATAACATTTTATTTCCTAATTTCACATTCATTTATGGTCTAAGACAAGGCCTCTGAAGAACTGTGGATTGGTCAGAGGATAGTGTCCAGCTCCCAGAACTCAGTTGCCCCTCACCCTGCCAGGCTTGGCTGGGCCTTCTAGAGGAAGGCCCTCCTGGGTGTCCCAGTCTCTCTCTTTCTTTTTTAATTTCTTGGGTTCAGTTTCCAGAACCCACTTGGTCAAGGCCAACCCCTATTTCCCTCCCCTTCTATAGAGTCCCATGGTGGAAGTGGGTGAGCAGTCATTTTTTCCCCCAAGAACCCGGGCACAGACAAGGAGGGGGTTATGTGTGTGTTTGTTACCGTAGCCAAAACACTGTGCTATCTGGCAGAGGGTGCATTCGCTGGGTATCAGGAGTAAGGGACAAAGAAAGAAAATCCGGGCTGTCGTCCACAGCAGCAGAGGCAGCGGCGGCAGTGCCTGGCCTCATTTGTTAGCCGAGTGTCGAGGTAATGGTCGCCACCGAGGCTCGTCCTCTCCTCGGCAGAGTAAACAAGACAGATGGGCCCAGGCCTGGAGTGATTAAAGATGAAACGTGGATCCATCTTCACCAAAGCCGAAAACGAGGACCTACAGCCGCCTCCTATTTGTCTTTTTCTTTCTTCCTTCTTTTCTTTTTCTTTCTTTCTTTTTTTAAAGAAAGAAAGCAAGAGACTTGAATCTTGCTTCTGGAGGGCTTCGCCTGGCTTCCTACGGTCGTTTTTTATAAATAAAGCTTCCCTACCCCTCCTTCTCCGCGTTTATTCATTATAGATAAAGTGGGGGGGGGTAATAGGTTTTTCAGGGTTCGGCCCCAGTACCCTCCCGAACCCCGCATCCCCCCTCGGTGCTCGCTGTTCCCCCCGCCCCCCAGGTTCCGGCTCCTGCTTGGGGGGGTACTAGAGCGCGGGGGGACCTCCGTTGGGCCGGCCAGGGGTTCCTCCAGCTGAGCCAGCGGTACCACCCGAGCGGATCTTAGTGTTGGGCAACTTGTGGTCTTTTTTCCACTTCATGCGTCGGTTCTGGAACCAGATCTTGATCTGGCGCTCCGACAGGCAAAGCGCGTGGGCGATCTCCACCCTCCGGCGCCGCGTCAGGTAGCGGTTGTAGTGAAATTCCTTCTCCAACTCCAAGACCTGCTGGCGAGTGTAGGCGGTCCGAGAGCGCTTGGGCTCCCCGCCGGCGTAATTGGGGTTTACTGGACACACACGGAGAGAGGGAGAAAGAGAAAGTTTTATTGCACCCTAAAGGGAGGAGGGACAGCCCTTTCTTCCAACTAACACAGTGTCTCTGGCTCCCACCACCTCATCTTGGGGGAGGGGGGCCAGAAAGGAAGAAATTGAGACGCGAGAGAGAAAAAACCTCAGATATTTGCAGGACTGCTTGGGGGAGGGGGGGCAGTGAGAAATCTTCGAGAGTTCTCATCTCTCTCCTCCTTGCTTGGGGCCCCCCGGGTGGGAGAATGAAGGGTGGAAGAGGGAGGGGTGTTGCTCTAAACCTTTCCTCTGTTTAGTCCCCACCCTCGCTGCTCAGATTCCAAGCAGTGCCTTCATCCCAGTAAAAACTTTTGCCCACTTCTCCAGCCAAGGGCTCAGACAGACTAGAAGAAAAGGAAAAAATAAATACTGGGAGTTGACTCAACTCCCCGCTTAAATACAGATTACTACCTCCTCCTTCTCCTCCCCTCCTCCCACACCCCTCCCCAGCTCCCAACTTCACTGAGGCTGCATCTTCCAGGCGGAAAAAGTCGCTGGCGAGAATGGGGAAGAGGATGGGGAACTGACTTCAAAGGCGCAGGGCCCACCAGGCCATAAAAATTTATGGGCGATGTAATTATGTGGCTCTGAAAACAGGCGACCGTAAATCTCTGGCAATGGCGAGTTTATAGCGGGGACAATTGGCTTCCCCCAGCTCCCTCCCCCACATGCCTCGGAGGTCCCTCCGGTGTGAAGCGCCAGGGGTGGGAGGGGAAGGGGTGCCCACGCACTCACCCGTGCTCACGTGAACTTTGCGCATCCAGGGGTAGACGACGGGCTCTTTGCACGCGGAGTGGGACGGACTGGGGTGCAGGGGGTTCTGGGCGCAGGGAGGCGGCGGGGGGCTGCTGCTGACCGTGTCGCAGCGCTGCCCTGGCTCCGGGAGGAGGGCCCCGGCGGGTGGTGGCACGGGAGCCCGAGGGGACAGCCCGGGCGGTGGC